CTTTTCTTAAAAATAACCAAAAACATAAAAAATAGGCTATTTATTTATTTTTCATTAATTAATTTAATTAGTTAATTAATTGAACATTTAATTTTAAAACCTGATTCTTTTCTTTAAAAAATAATTAAAAACAACAAAAATATTTTTCTTTTAACTACGTTATGAAGGGTCAAAACCCTAATTTTTCTTATCGTTCTAATTTCATCGCGCACGCTTTATTGTTTTATTATTTACCATATTGATGTAACTTCTTACAAGTTGTAATAGTTAATTATGACTTTTATTTTTATTTATCGCTTTATTTCTTAAGGGTTTGTTTTTGGCTATGTAAATACCCGAAGCCTTGTAATAGCTTAGTTTAATTTCCGCACTTTAATTTCCGCAAAATATTAACTGTTAGATGTATGATATAGGGATGCATGACAAGAATGTATGTAAATTTTAAAATAGTTAGATAACCCTAAAATGTGCAAAGATCAATAATTTGAAATTGAATCACTCGCACATGCGCACTCTTAGTTTATACTCCCACTTGGTTGCCTTTGGTAAACGGTCATTAAGTATATGATGCTTTAGTGGTCGCTCTTTTGTCTAAACAAAGATCAAAGTCCCATTCAGAATTGTTGCCTCAGAATGGTTGCCTCGGAATTGTTGCCTCGGATAATTGATCTAAGACATTAAGGTTACTACTAAGACGCCCTAACATTGCTTTAGTGACCGTACGTCCCTTTTGAATTGACCCTCGAAACTCCAACGACGATGCTACCTACTCACTAATAGTGGGACAGCGTTGTCTAAAGGAAACGAACCTAGAACAATTATTTTTTCGAGTAGGTAGATTAGTTCTTAAGTACTTGCTCAATCCAAACAAACTTTTTCACACTTACACTCCGTTTTAAATAAAGTTTTCAAAACCACTTCGTAACACTCTTGAAGACAAAAGAAAAAGTTAAATCAAAGTAAAACAAAAGCTTTTCAAATCACACAAACACAAAGAAGCAATTTTGAAAATGATGAGCAAATACCTAAGATCCCGTAGATAACTACGGATAGAAAGGGTGATAATACCTTCCCTTTCTATAATCTACCCCCCGTACTCAGAAAATCTCGAAAAAAGGAATTTTTCTGTGCTTTTTTTCTTTCCTTGTTGGATAAAATAAAAGTCGGTGGCGACTCTTGCTTACCACGACATTTTGCAAACAAAAAACGCAAAACGCAAACCAGTAGTAAAAAACAGTCCGGTTCTGGCCACCGTATCACACAAAGCATGCAAGAAACATTGTTCAATTTAACAAGTAAAGATCGAAAGAAGAGAGAGAGCATAATTGAAGAATTATGCCATGTATGACTTGTATAGTAAGTTAACTTGAGATGATACTCAAGATCAACCAAGTAAGTAGACGAAACTTCCTTCACGAGAAAAGTAACCTAATTGATGAACAAAATCATCTAAAATGGATAATACTTGTCTTAAATCAAATGAAATTGATAAAGCTCAAGTAAAAGTGCAATGACATCTTGTATATCATGGGGTGATGATAATACCCTTACAAGACATCAATCATGAACTTAAATACTCGAGTAATATCAATAAGATAACATACTCATGTGTCATGATATATGGCAAATTATAGTCCCTTGATGGATAAAAGCAGCGTGATTTAAATAAATCAAAGGTCAATGTTCTTAGATGTTATGCGTAGTGGCCAATATCAAGATACATATATGGGACATGGCACAAAAGTTCATGAGACAATCACTAGATAGTGATGCTCAAAACATAAATGGAATATAACTTCTCATATATCACCATGTTGGTTGGTAATGAAGTACTTAACCAAGGATCAAGGAAGCTGGAGAAATAATATGAAAAGAGATGATAAAACATCAAGATAAGAAAATGATAAAACATCATTACTAAATATGGAAAAACATCATCACATAAAAGATAAGACATTAAGCACACACATGTTGGGATGAAAAAACATCACTTCTTAAAGAGAGAAGAATGATAAAACATTAATACCTAACAATGATATTGAGGATCAAAGTAGGATAAGAAATGATGACGAAACATCGTATGGAAAAACATAAACCTAACAATGATATCAAAAATTAAAGTAGGATGAAAAATAAGAGATGGTAAAACATCACACCTAACAATGATATTAAGAATCAAAGCAGGATAAAAGATAGGAGATGGATATTAGACAATCACACATCGCACATGAGAAGTAGAGACTTACTCAAGATTTAAGGTACTTAGATAAGATACCTAAAGAAAATATGCTTAGATAAGCAAGTAAAGAAGAACATGCGCGTAGGTAAACACCTAAGCAAGTAGTCAAGTAGAAAAGGAGATAACATTTAAACAAATAAAGCATGCTTACAAAGGTAAGACTTTCAGTCATGCATCAATATGCAAGAACGAGAAATAAAGGGAGGTACAATGATACCTAACAGAGAAAGTTTGTTGCCTCTTTAATGCACATGAGATAAAAAAGCTCTATCGAACGCCTCCTTGGACCCCCTCAATCAACCATCAATTAGGAATACCCGAGTTACGTCCATGATCGTTCGTAAGATTATAGAACAAATGTCCACAAGATAAATGAAATGCTTGGTGTATGGGGGTTGAATCGGGTTATGATTAACCAAGGGGTGTACTTGAATAATCTCGTGAGAGTAGGTGATCCTACCCTCAAACATGAGACTCTTTGTGCATGGAAACACTTGGTATATGGACCAAAGTGGTTGATTTGGGTTATGATTAATCAAGGGTAAAACTTGATTAATCTCGTGAGAATGGTCATGCCCAAACTCAACTATGAGACCCTTTTGGTGCATCGAAACACTTGGTATATGGAACAAAGTGGTTGATTCGTGTTAAGTGGTTGATTCGTATTATGATTAATCACCTGCAAAACTTGATTAATCTCGTGAGAATGGCCATGCCCTAACTCAACTATGAGACCCTTTTGGTGCATGGAAACACTTGGTATATGGACCAAAGTGGTTAATTTGGATTATGATTAATCAAGGGAAATTTTTTATTAATCTTGTGAGAATGGACATGCCCAAACTTAACTATGAGACCCTTTAATAAAATGCTTGGTATGTGGACCAAGGGGAGTGAAGAGAGTTGCTTCAATGCATAAGATAAAAATCAAAAGCCCATACAAGGTGGCTATATGCATGCTTCTAGAAAGTGGGACTAGCGTGGCACTAGTATTCTAAACGACCGATTGGGACAAACGATCAAATAGTTATTGTTGTAGAAAAGCCCAGGACCAAACTATGAAATATGTGCAAGTGTGCATGTGTAGATGGATACCTACTCATTGATGACGAACCCAAGAGGATGCCAAGTGTTCTAATTGAACGACTATGCAAAATAGAAATAATTAAAACATAATAAAAAAATAAGAAAGAAAATAAAATTCTAAGCTATTACAAACCATATGAGAATGAGGGTATAAGTTTATGAATGGGAATGTATCGAATCGACAATACGATTAAAAATCTAAATAAACAAACAATACAATCCAATCAAATTAATTAAACAACTAATTAAATTGAACTATCTTATTTAATAGAATTAATTAACAAAATAATTAATTATATTATATATTATTCTCCAACCTAATTACTTATTTAAAATAAAATGTATTTTTTTTTTGTATTTTTAATTGATAGAAATCAAAATAATAAAACAAAATAATACAAAATATATAATAAAAAAAGAAGGTAAATAGGCCCGAATGAAGTAATTTAGGGGGGGTGCTGAAAGCAGAAGTAAACCAGGCCCAAGAAAGATTACTCGCGTGATTTGGTAGATCTGCAAAGGAATGATGTACCATGGGGATGCATTTTCACACGTTGATGCTGAGAAACAAGGATGAGATGATGATCAGAAGGCCGTCATTGGAGGGTGTATGGTGGGCCGTTGAGGATGCATGCGCAGGATCCGAAAGTTATTTTAAACAGGTGGTGACAAATGTCACCACCGTATTAGTCTCTTAATCTTTGTTTATTTAACAAAATACAACAATAATTAAGAGGTTAAACATCGTAAAATATAATCCTCTCTCTCAACCTCAAATTCTCTCGCTTCTATCTATGCTATTCAATCAACAAACACTAAAAAGAAAATGAAGGGCGGTGACTTACAATCTGACGTGGTGGTGTTAACGAACGTCTGTGGTGCCAATGATGAACGCCCATGCGGCGGACGACAGTGATGTCGTGACTTGATCTGATATCACTTGTTTTTACTCCCCTCACTTCGTCTTCTTCTTATGGTTCCTAATCTCTGACTCGATTTTGCAGGAGATGAACAAATTGGCGTAGATCTGAAAGGGGGAAAATGAAACCTAACTGTTCAAAAAAAACAAGTACTCAGTGATTATGATGAAAGAAACAACGTAAAGCAAAGGAGAGACAAAAAGAGATATCAAAGAAGACGAGTTTGAGAGATCAATGGTGACGCAATGCTTGGAACTTTTTGATTCACAATCTTTACGGTGATCTCTTTCAAATCTCTGCCTTTTACGTATTCTTTGGGATTCTATGTGATTCGAAAACTTTGCCTCTTCTTCTTTCTCTCAAGTTTCTGAAGGGTTTAGTTAGGAATATTATGAACGAAATAGGGTTAGCTTTGATTAAAGTTTGTTGCAATTTTGTAATCTGTGAACAAATTTGATTTATGATGAATTTGAAGTGTTTGTGAATGGAAGATGAACGAAAATTAGGGTTTGTGTTATTCTCGGCTGTGCAACTTTTGTGATTTTTGTGAACAGTCCCCACCTGAAACTTATGCAATTGAATGGTTTTATAGTGATACCATTTAGGGTTTCGGTGCTGATATTTGGATTAAGATAGTAAGATTATGAGAATTTCGTTTTGGGCTTTTGCTTCTGATATCTGTTATTGTGATCTATTTTGATATTTTTCTGATGTCATTTTTATTTGTGGCCTCTATATGATCATTGTTACTACAATCACTTTTTTGTTTTTACTGAGATGTGTGAATCTGTTTGTTGGGCTTGATAATCTGATATGTTAAATTTCTGACTTGCTTCAGACTTGTTTTCATTTATGACTTTGTCATAATTTTCTGATATATTGCTTTGGGCTAGAAATTGCAATTCAGCTACTTTGTAACTGTGATACTTTGTTGCTTGGGCTGGACAGTTGCGATTCTGACTTTTGCTGAATGCTATAACTTTGTCTCTTTTGATTTTGTCTTTATTATGAACCAAAGTTACTTTTGTGATTTGCAGTAAATGGAATTTTTGGCCCATGATTACTTGCTTGAATTTTGATTATTGTATGAAACAAAATGTTTATACGGAACTTTCTTGTTTCTTGAATGATTGAATTCAAAACCCTTTACTTTTGATTCCTTTCACGACCTTAATGATGAGATTGAAGAGAAAATTTTCTTTGGAAATTCTTGTTTATGCTCAAGTTTTGTTTCTTGTTCTAACCACTTCTTTCTTTGTTTCATGAGGTCGAGCAACATGGGCAAATGACATCATGGCTATCATTAAAGTGAAATAATGTTAGAGGGAAGTTTGATAAGAGTTTTGAAGAATTCAATAGTCCATAGGATAACTTCATTAGCCTAGAAGTTCTCTTTGAACTTATGCATTGTAAAAATAATTAGGACTTGTGATTAGAGTGCTTGGAATAAAGTTTTAGAGAAATAATGTATTTTGAAAATGTAAGCTTCTTGCAACATCTTCTAAACTTGTAATTTAACAAATTCACAATTGAATTTGTAATACAAACTTTTGCCAAAGTGTTTGTAAAACAAGAATAATGATGAACTTGAATAATGATGAACAGAGGAAGCTTTACTTAGATAGGGCTTTGATTGGTTTTTTTTTCCTTAGTGATTGGAAAGGAGGGAGCCTGGGTATGTCACAAAAAGGGAAGGCAGAGGTAGTACTTCGAATGGCGAAACGAAGGGCTAAATAGCGCCAGTGATTCTCTGAGCTGATCTGGATTTTCAACGCCTCGGGAAACTGGTCGAGATAGATGACAACACCCTTTTCCTCTCTTCCTTACCGATTAAAAGTGGTGGGTGTCCACTAACGACCATTTCTGGCTCGGCTCTGATAACACAATTCCAGAAGGGGTCGGTAGTTGGGCACTGGATCCCTTCGGACCTGGAGAACGCGTGATGCTGGGTCGGGGTTTGGTTGTAAGGAGAAATGAAGAGGGCAAATTTTAGGGTGAAATAGCTGCCCATATTCAATCATCTTAAACTTGATAAGTGAGAAATAGCGTCAGCTTTCGAACATTCAAGGTGGAAGAGGATTGGATACTAAAAGAACCTGAAAATTTGCGCTCTGAATAAAACAGAAACACATAAATACTAGTAACTGCATTTTGTAAGGATATCACCAAGAGAACTGGGTGAAAGAGTGGAAAACTAGTGAACACTAAATCTTGCCAAAGGGTGTTAGATAATACAGGACTCAAAAGATGTACTGAGTAGAAATTGGATTTGAAAAACGAATTAAGTATGGATTGGACTTAACTGGTAAACCAATTAAATATTGGACCTAAATCAAGAGAAATAATGGATACTAGTCTCTTAAAAGGATGTGCCAGGATGAAGCTGGAGTATAGACCATAGAAATGAGATAAAACTCAACTCAAGCAGGCTAGACAAAACTAGACTTTAGAAGAATGTGCCAGGACAAAACTGGGACACGAGTTACAATAAATGGGATAAAACTAAACCCAAGAAGACTATATGAAACTAGAATGCAAATCGCAATATTGAGACGAAACTCAACCCACTAAAACTAGATAAACCTAAATTCCACAAAAATGCGTCAGGACGAAACTGGATCGCAAATCACACCACTGAGACGAAACTCAACCCAAGAAGACTAGATAATACTAAACTGCAAATAATGTGTAAGGACAAAACTAAAACACAAATTTCAATAGTGAGATAAAACTAGACTCGGGAGGATCGGATAAAACCAGGCCTTAAAGATTATGTCAGGACAAGACTGAAACACAAATCTCAATAGTGAGATAAAACTCAACCTAAGAAAACTAGATGAGACTTTATTCTAGAAAAATGTGCCAGGAAGAAATTGGAACACCAATTGAAATAATGAGATAAAACTCAACCCCAGAAAACTAGACGAGACTAGATTCTCGAAAAATGCGCCAGGACGAAACTGGACCGCAAATCACAAAACTGAGACGAAACTCAACCCAAGAAAGCTAGACGAGACTAGATTATAAAGATACAAATAGATATTGGACCCATGAGGGTATACCAGAAATAAAATGGTCTAGATCAACAAATAACAGACAAAATTGAGCTTATATCATCTACACGTTAGCGGAACGCTGGTGAGATCGAGTAGAGGTTATCGAGATAAAACTCGGTCTCCGGGAGTACTTATAAAGAATGCGCCAGGTAGAAACTGGTGTGCAAACAAGGTAACAAGACAACACTCAACCTAAGAGGAACTAGATGAAACTAGGCTCTAAAAAAGTACTCAATATAACAATAATAGCAATTGTGTCCTATAGCAAGGTGACGAAAAGTGCGTGTATTTCACAAAACACCTGCTGGTCTCAAACGAGGGTAGACAATAGACGATGCTGAACGAACTCATGTAATAGAAGAGACAAATAACAAGTAGAAACTCGGCTCAAGAAGACTAGACGAAATTGGTCCAAAGATGAGACTTAAAACGAGTAGCGAACTCGACTCAAGAAGATTATACAAAACTAATCCAAAGATGAGTACTAGGACGAAACTGGATTGCACGCACATGTAACGAGACAAAACTCAACCTAAAAGCAACTAGATGAAACTAGGCTGAAAATGAATATCAGGGTGAGACTGGTATTCATAAGGTATATCAATAGAAATTGAAATGAACAAACAAAGGTAGTAAATACTAAACCCGAGAAAACTGTGCCAGGTAGAAATTGGACTACAATCAAAGATAATAAGTAGACACTCAACCACTTAATGGTAATGTCCAAAAGGAAATACTTGTATGGGTGAAAACCGGGATACTGAGGATAAAGACCTCGCTGGGGATATAATCTAAAGTTAGAAAATTCATTGGGGAAATCAGAAACAATAACGACTTATGTTCCAATGCATGTTTGAATTATTATTTTTTCAACGAAATAATGTTCCCAAAAGAGAATAGAAACAATACATTTTGAGGATGTAATGTGATGATGCATGATTAAGTGTTTCATTGGGGAATGGCCAATTGAGAAGCCAACAACCAATAGGTCCAAACCTGATAAGACTCATAAAAATAAATTGCAAAACTCTGCTGTAGAAGAGAAAATATAAGGAACCGATGGAAAGAAACCTTTGAAGAGATGAAACTATATGGGGAATAAAAAATCGAGTAACCGGAAGAAACGGGCTACAAACACTGAGAGGAGTTGTAAATATAAATTGCAAACTCTACTGGAGAAGATCAGATCAAAATTGTCAACTCTGATAACAGATTCCAAATGAAGATTGGGCACCACTGGAGAAAATCAGAGCGAAACCATAATTTTGAAAGAGAGCGCCAAGCAGAAATATGTCATTGTTGGAGAAGATCAGGGAGAAACCGTAACTTCTGAAGAGAAATGCCAAATAGAGATTGGACATTGTAGGAGAATATTAGGGCGAAACTATAATCTCTAAGAAGGCATGCCCAATGGAGATTGGACGTTGCTGGAGAGCACCAAAAAAATGGGGCCTGCGGGAAATAAAAAATCACCTCTGACTGCTTGGGAAATAATTGTTAACCTCTCATCGGGGATAACAAGAAACTTGTACTATTGGAGATATGAAGATCCTATCTGAAGATAAGAGAACTTAAGAACATAATTCTTGATGGAACAGTCTTCACGAAAGAAAACTCAACAACATATGCTACTACTGAAGATACGAGAATCTTCAACTCCACTGGGGAACATGGGTGAGCTTCAACAAGAACAAAATCCTACTATCATGCTCTATCCTGGGGCTAGAAACAATAATAGCGTACTCCTTTGGGGAAGTAACACTTATCAACATCGAAGATTGAGATCTACTGAGAAAAGAGAGAATATGTGAATAAGTAATTTTGATGAAACGACTCCACTGGAGAAATGAGAATTCCTAAATAGGAGATTTATTGATAAGGAAACTTCACAGGGGAGATGATGATTTTTGAATAAGATATTTCTGAAGACAACTCCGTTGGGGAAAAAAGCAATTCTGAATAAGAGATCTTAGATAATGGTCTTTATTGGAGAGATGAAATAAACCTCAACGCAACCTAGCTGGAGGAATGAAAATTCCTGAGAGCAAAGTCTCAAATAAGACAGATCCAATAGGGAATGGGAAATCTTGAACAAGGGATCCTCATAAACAGCCTCCTCTGAGGAAGTGTGATGATGCCTGTGATCGGTGGAAATAGAACTGACTGTTTTAAAGCTGGTTCGCGAAATGTCGCGGTAAGCAAGAGTCGCCACCGTCTTTTATGTTCTCCAACATGGAAAGGACAAAAGCACAGCAAAATTCCTTTTTCGAGATGTCTCTCGGTTCGGGAGGTAGATTTATAGAAAGGGAAGGTGTTAGCACCCTTTCTATCCATGGTTATCCATGAGCTCTTAGGTACTTGCTCACTATGTTTTCAAAAATTGTTTGCTTTTCAAGTGTTTGTGGGTTTTGAAAAAGTTTAGTTTGAAAAAACTTCTAGGTAACTCTTGTATCAGTCCTCAAGAGTGTATGAAGTATTGGTTTGAAAACTTTTTGAAAGTGTAGGTGCGAAAAGTTGTTTTTTTTTGTTTTTTGAAAGAGCAAGTACCCAGGAGAAATCTACCTACCCTAAGGAATTAGGCTGTGTAAGAGTCCTTTAGACAGTACTATCCCACTATTGAGAAGTAGGTAGTACCGTCGTTGGAGGTATTCGGGTTAATTCGATTATAAGGGACATTGAGGAGCGTTCTCAATTCTTCCATGAGGAGCGTTCTCAATTCTTCCTGCCCCTTGGATAGGCTTAGGAAGATTTCCATGAACTGAGTCCCTTGAGTACGGAGATCCTGGTTGTCTGGTTGGAAAGCCATTGCTGAAATAAACAGCGAAGAAAGTAAGTGACCTGTAACAAGGGTACCTGTTATGCAATGATGTGTAGGTATGCATGCAATGTTTACAAGGATCTCGCGGGGTAAACAAGAAAATTGTTAGAATCTGGTATCTTGGTTGAAGGAACTTCATGTTGTTGAGAGTCCTTCTTCAAGAGTCAAGGCTCACCATATCGAG